CTGCTGCTCCTGGACCCCTGCCCCAGCCCCCTCGTCAGAACCACTATCGCCGCCACCACCACCACCACACCATCCCTTGGGGCCGCGGCGGCCCCGACGCTGTCGCTGCTGCTACGAGAAGGCCGCCGCTGCGGTCGCAGTGGCAGGAGCAGCCGTAGCGACCATAGCGGAAACGTCAGCGTACGTGTACTGGGAGGGAGCACAACCCTAAAAGATAGGGATTGTCGCAACACCACTTGATTGAGCGATAGTGCGCTGGCAAATCTCTATCTCAGAAAGGGCAGCGACAAAGGCGGTCGGGGTGAGGTCACCAAGGTGCTGGCTAAGGAAGTGGTTGCGGGCAGTGGCTAAGCGGTGAGGCAGGCACATGGCGACAAGGTACAGGGTAGCGCAAAATGGCCAGGGAAAGGCAGTGAGCTGGGCAGTAGTGCTAGCAGCGCGGTAGCTAGTCTCTAGTGCACGGAGGTGAGTGGCGAGATCAGCGACAGTGGGGAAAGCAAAGAGATCAGGGAAGAGCATGGGGAGGATCAAGCATCCAGCTGAGGCGGAGGTAGGCGTGGAGTAGCTGCAACCACTACATCTACGAAATCTTTGGGATTCGCGACGTGGCGGAAGGACTCTCCGGAACGGGGAACGAGCGGAAGGTCGGGGACCTGCGGGTGCGCAAGGGGCCGAGGCGCACAAGGGGTTGGCCAGGCGTGCAAGAGGCCGGGCAGGTGCGAAAAGAGACTGGCGCGTAGAGAGGAGTTTGCAAGGCGCGTGGGGCTGGCACTGCATAGGAGGGGCCGGCTAGGCGGTAGGGGCCGGCTAGGCGCGAGGGGACGGCTGGGTGAGAGGGTCCGGCTAAGCGTTTGAGTGACCGGCGGCGGCGTGAGAAGGGGCCGGCTAAGCTCAAGGGGCCGGCTAGGCACAAGGGGCCGGCGAGGTGCGAGGGGCCGGCTAGGGCTCAAGGGGGGGGCCGGCTGGGCGCGAGGGACCGGCTGGGCGCGAGGGGGCAGCTGGGCGCGAGGGGCCGGCTAGGGCGCGAGGGGCCGGCTAGGGCGCGAGGGGCCGGCTAGGGCGGGAGGGGCTGACTATGGCGCGAGGGGCCCGCTAGGCGCGAGGGGCCAGCGACGGCAGGTGGGGCTGGCGACGGTGCGAGGAGCCGGCTACGGCGCGAGGGAGGGCTGGCTAGGCGCGAGGGGCCGGCTACGGCGCGAGGGGCCGGCTAGGCGCGAAGTTGCTGGCTAGGCACGAGGGGCTAGCTAGGACGCGAGAGGGGCCGGGCGGGCGCGATAGGGGCCGGCGAGGCGCGTTAGGCTAGGGCGCGGGGCGGAAGCGGGTGGGTGGACCAAACGTACTCATGATACTTTGTTAGAATACTAGAATGAATAGAAACAAGAGAGAACAAGCAAGATATAGGGTTGGGTTGTACTCTCTATGAACATACACCTATTCTAGCCTATAACTTCTACATGCAAATATATGTATAAGTTGATATTATACTGTATATATATATAATTATAGGTTTGGTAGGTGTTACTGAATCCTACTGTAGAGGGTACAACCCCCCTTCTTCTATCCCACTCTCTTCTAGTCCAAGCTCTCTTCTCTCTCGACATTTTCCCCTAGCCTAAAACCTCACGCCATTTCCATGGCTTCTATCCTTTCTTAGCTTCTTTAGCACTTTTTTTAGGAAGCCTCAGCCAATCAAATTCCGCCGATCGATCCAAAGTTGCAGCAAGATTGCAGGAGCGGGAGGAGGAAATCTCGCCCTCACAACGCTCCAAGGCACACATTGGGCCCTAAATTCGGCTAAGGGCCGATTTCTCTCACATCCCCCAACACACGCTAGCCCTAAATTTGGCAAGGGCCAAGTTCCCCCTCACACAACCCCCCAGCACACATCAAGCAAGGGAAACATGCGGTTCCTGTATTATGGTAGGGCAATCACGCTCTTACAGAGGCTGCAAGGTCCACTACAATAGCAACGCTGTACAAACAAAGTTCAGCCATAACAAAACCCTGAAAATTTAGGGTTGTGTCTAAAAAAAAATCCTAGGGCATCAGCGTTGGTACAGAAAAAACCTCTAGAAAAACCCTGAATCAGGGGAATTTGCCTGAAATCTTAGGGCCCGGTCCCAATTTGATAACCCCTCTGCTATTTTGCTGTGGGGTTTTAAGGGAACTCTGAGTGGTCAGCAGTGTAACCGCTATGGACCCTGACGAGTCCGCCTAATATCGTGGTACAGCCCTGATTCCTGTAATAGCGGAATCTACCCCCCCCCCCCCCCCCCCCCCCCTAATTTCCGTGCCAGCCCTGTAACACCCCCGCCAATCACGGCAGATTGACAGTTAGCCGCACACAATCCACGTGAAATGGCATATTGCAGCCACGTTGCATCCAGCACATTTAGCGCGGTAGTACATGATTGGTCCTGCAGCTCTGGCGCCAGCAGGTCCTCGCCCTGCGATTGGGACTTATCCAAATTCAGTTTCGACAGCCAATAGACCAGCGTCGTTCAGCAGCTGCAGATAACCTCGCGCAACAGAACGTGGCGGTTACCACGCGGGGCGGACAAGGGAACCAGCGCATCGTGTTCATGCACGCAACCATCCCATAGTGGCTGACGTTTTCACCCCCCCATGACAAGGCCCCTTTTGCTAGCTCCATTTCTTGCTCCCACCTGCTTTTCCCCTTAACATTACTTCTCCTCGTCGTTCTGTGTTTGCAAGTCATTGCAGCACGCTGCTCGACTCGCAAACGCCGTGGTCGAGCCAGGCGACCCCGACGAGCCTGACAGTACTCGGCACCTGGACTCTCACACGGGTCTATACTGTTATAATCACAATAGGCTCAGATGTGCCTAAAATGAGAGAAATTGTGCACAATCAGAATTCCGTTAGACAACTTCAAATATTGATGCCGATCTGATATCTGCCTCAAACGGTGATCTGTAAATTGGATCTGGAGCGCGTTGCTGTCACCTATCAGCAGCAAGTTGAATCATAAAATTCCATGACTGGCAGGAGGTACAGTAGCCACTATAGTCTTAGGAGTACAAACTTAGCAAGAAGAGTTCGAGATGGAGATGGTTCCTAGCCTCTACATACCCTAAGAGCCGAGGTCCAGGTTGGTGGTACACCACCACAGAGTCCCCAACCATGAAGAGTCTCGAAACCAACCCTCCAAGGGGCTACACCAAGTGAAATGTAACACTACACGAAGTAGTGTTACTATTTTCACTATTTAATATTTATCCGTGTCCCTTGGGCTTGAAATCTTGAGCTCTTGGTCTTGGTTCAGCAAGATAAATTCTTCTTGAGTTGATGGAGGCTTGCTGCACACACCTGCGACGCGATGGACACTTCACACTCGACAAAATAGAAAAAACACATGCGACACGCAAACGACGACTTGACATGCGAGTTGTGAAAACTCGCTAATGTCTTGACCGACACAAACCACATTGTGATACACCATTCTAACACACACACAAGCACTAGATAGCAATGACATAGACTCACAATTCATTCCATGCCATGCATGCACACACACAAACAAGGACGACAAGCCGAGTGCAAGCCATAGGGTTGCGCCAACATATACTTGTTACTCTCCACCCTCTCAAGCCTGAGGCGTATCCCGCCTAGGGTTAGCAGCGCCATGCATAGTCCTGCCTGTCAGCCAGGTTCTGTAGGTGAAGTTGCGGCTGGGTCTAATAGCAATCCCACTGCCGGCCCCTCCATGGCTGAACCCGAGATCACCGTTACTATGGCTGGTACTCTGGCTAAGCGCTCCGGTCGTTACAGACAGGCCACTCTTCCATTTGCTCGCCCGAAGATCACGGGAAACGAGGCATATGGGGCGCCTGATTCTGATGAGGAGGACGATGAAGATGATCCTCCCTCCGCCACCAAACCCATGTGTTCAGCAGACGAGCAGTATGCGGATGCGCAGCGCCGCTACAACACGAAGTGGCAAGACGAGTTTCCATGGCTCCTCGAAAAATCGCCAGATGGACTTCCTGCCTTAAAGTGTTCCGTGTGCATCGAGCATGCAGGTCAGAGTGGCAAGACCGGGCAACGTGACAGCGGGATCAAGGACGCGTAGAAGCAAGCATTCACTCGCCATGCTGGGACGGCTAAGCATCGGTTGGCGTTCGGGAAGCAGACGACGCTACTGCGGTAAGCGACGACACAGACTCTGATCGACCATGCTGCTGGCGCGTCGGACGTGGAGGCGGCCCGGGTCACAGCTCTTCTCGATGTTCTCTACCTCTGCTGCAAGACCAATGAGCCGATGGAGTCGTGGATGAGGTTCTCATGCTACCTCGCTGTACGAAAGGTAAAGAACTTCACTAAGTGTACTCCAAGGAGCTGTTATGCATTTCCAGGAATGAATGCACACATCAGGGAACACCCATATGCAAAAATCAACACAGCCCGACTGTCGAAGAAAAATTTGCACGCAAATAAGACCAGGGCAAATCAATATTGATGGTGTTTTCAATTTCTCAAACTGGGGCTATTCGGGTACTCCTCGACTCTCCCATGAGGGCGTCCCTCCCCTGCCCCAACAGTGTTGGCCTATCCCTGGCTGGTTGCTGGTGCGCAAGAATCGTCGTCATCCTGCAACAGACCGAGCTCCCACCAGTGTTTTTCCCGTAAAACACTGTTTGCCTTTTTATTATTTACTGTTGGGCATGGCGGGACTCAACCGGGGACCTGCTGGTTCCAGCCTCGCCATTCTGACCAGGCTAATTCAGAGGTATGTGGCGGTCGCAGCCAGGCTTGGCAGGTCGCTTGGCTGTCCCCTTTGTGTCGAACCTGTCTGGTGGGGTCCTGGTAGATCCACGGTCGGGCAACCGAACAGCACCCAAATGTTGTGCGACCCTGTCGAGCTTCGTTTGTACACATGCGCCTCCTCCCCCATCGCCCCCTTTCAGCACCCTCCCCCTCTCCAATTCCTCTCCTCCCCCAGCACGTCTTCGTTTCCCCCCCCTCAGATCAGGGTCGGTCAATAGTGTGACCATTGACAGACACCATACATTAGCGAAACACGTGTAACCTAGCGAAACGGCTGGTACTAAGTGCGTACGACCGGTGAAGTGCTGTCACCGCGACTGTACTCGCAATAGTAGTCTCCTTCACGGCCCACGCCAACGCCATTCGTTGCTTGTGCTGGCCGCCTAAACTGAAGTTGCATACAATACCCGAATATAAAATTTCGGGGCAGTCGCACGGGCAGCAGCCAAGGAGAAAAACTGATTGGGCGAAGAACGGAATCCAGAGCAGCCGGGCCAAAGGCCATGGCGGCGCAGCCAGCTGCTACCGTACTTAATCCCAATATGCTCCCATGTGTGCGTAATAATGTCCACTTCGTGCTTCTAGTAGCGCTACTAGCCGGGATCCTCCTAACCCTAGTCCACTGGTGCGCCCCCGCTGACTTTATCGACCCTGCTGGAAGCCTTGGCGGCAACACTGTCGCCGCTAGCAGCGCCAGCCTCGGCATGGCGGAAGAGCAACCTTCTGCCAGCCTTGGCAGGGCGGAAGGGCAGCCTTCCGCCACGGAAAGGGTTGGCGCAAATAATGGCTGGGAGCTTTCCGCCGCGGATGGCGCAACAATAACTGCGCAGCCGTGCATCAGTGGCGCGATCAACAGCAGCGCAGATAGCAGGGGCACGGGCAGCAGTAATTCCACTATCAGCGGCACGGGCAGCAGCAGCGGCGCGTTCAACGCGCCTAAATTCGACGTGCGCGCTGTGCGCCTGGGGGGAAAACCGCTCTGCTGGTGGTCCGGGGACCACGGTGGGTACAGCTGGGACTACGAGAGCCGCGCTTCCGCCAACGCAGCTAGAGGTTGACGGCGCGGCGGCGTGGTTATGTTCGGGAACGGGTGCGCGGGGTGCGTAGCGGGACAGTGGTGTAGCTTTGAGATCGAGATAAGACCGCCTGCGAATTGGGTGTTACCTGCGACGGAAGCGTTTGTGGATCTGCTTTTAGTGGAGCTGTGGGGGCCTGCTATCGCGTACGCGGAGGTGAAGAAGGAGGCAGGCGATAACAGGCGGTGGAGGGTCTCTTATCGAATTTGGGACGCGGGAAAATACGTGTAAGTGATAAATTCAGTGTGTACTGTAGTACGTGATGAAATTTGGTAGAGAGGTTTGAGTTCCGTGACGGAAGCTGCTGACCCTCCCCCTCCCCCCATCCCTCACCCCTCGCCCCCTTTCCTCAACGCACGCTTATAAGGTTGAGGAAATTTGCATATCTACAGTGTAACCACTTCCATAAGAAAGCTGTGGACTTCTTATCAACAAAAACAGATCGTTTTATACCTTTCTATTCTTTCTGATTACTTCTGCAGTATGTTTACCACGCAATACTCAGCCTCCCCTGTCCTCTATCCACTGTCCCCTTACATTCCTATAGCGTTACAGTCACATCCGGTTGCAGCAACCTGAACTACTCCTCGCAATTCGCTCAACAGGGCATCGATCCTTTTGCGAATTGGACTCTTTCCGTTGACCACCCTTTCGCAAATTACTCACCCGCTCGTGCTTCTGCCGAACTTTCCGCGAATTCAGACTCGAATCTGGTCTCTGAGGGGAGAGGGGAGGCGGAGGGGGAGGCAGAAAGGGAGGCGGAGGGGGAGGAGGATTGGCGGAGGGAGGCGAAGCTGGAATGGCAACAGGCGCCTTGCGATCAGTCCGTTGCTGGCAGATGGCTCGTCGAGCAAAACGCCTACAGGTATGCTCGGAGCTACCAGGGAAGGCAATTGCGCAGATGCCTTAATGTAGGGGAAGTGGGGTTGGAGTGGCATTAAGCACCATGTGATCAGATGGCATCAAGCACCATGTGATCAGATGGCATCAAGCACCATGTGATCAGATGGCATCAAGCACCATGTGATCAGATGGCATCAAGCACCATGTGATCAGATGGCAGAATCAACAACGACGCTCGAGTCGAGCCCGTCAAGCCTACAAGGTGGTCCCAGCTCGTCGCGTTTTTACCACGGGCTCCGCTCCAGGTGGCGTTTCTTCCCACACGCCTCGCCCCTGCCCTACCCTTTGCCAGATCACCATCATGCCTTCGTCGCTCCCTCTTTCCCCTTGTATCTTGCAGGTGGCGGTTCTACCTGTGCGCATTGCCCCTGCCCCCCCTTTCTTAGTGGGTGGAGGCGCTTCAGTCCTGTGCTGTGGATGGACCGGTGTCTTAAAAAACTGTTATCCCCCCCCCTGCCCCCCTGCAGGTGGCGGTTCTACCCGTGTGCGTCGCCCCTGCCGCCCCCTTTCCAGTGGGTGGAAGCTCTTCAGGCACGCGGCATTCGGGAGATCAGCTTTGTGGGCGACTCGCACCAGCGCTTCCTCATGCTCTTTATAAACTACCTCGTTATGCACGACATTGATGACGCGCTCTGGAAGTACCACGGGGATATCGTGATTAAAGTGCCACCGCCCAAGGGGCGAAGGGACCTGCAGCCGCTGAGGCTAAATTTTTTCTGGGTCGATGGGATGTACCAGAACGGGGAGTACGGATGCGTGTAAGTGGGATGCCGACGTGGGCTCATGAATTCATACTGGGTCTTTGGGATGTACCAGAATGACGAGTACAGATGCATGTAAGTGTATAGATCTGTTCTCGTTATTAGGTTTTGTTACTAGTTTTTAGTGACTAGGTATATTTCTCAGGTTCCTCGCAGCTAGTGGTGGCTGTGCATGTGATCCCGGCGTGGAATACCTACAAGTGTTGCTTGGATTACTGTTTCTCTCAGGTTATGCAGGGTGTTTTTGAGAATTCTCAAAAACATTACTGTTTCTCTCAGGTTATTGCACCCCTGCACGTATTCTTATCTCCCCCCTCTATCTCTCCCCTCTATCTCTCCCCTTCACTCATCCCCGTTACGCCGTTGGCATTCCCTCTGACTTTCTGCCCACCTGTACCAGTAACCAGCTGCCTTTCCCGCTGACTTTCTGCCCACCTGTACCAGTAACCACCTGCCCTTCCTGCTGACTTCCTGCCCTCCGCCTGCAGCCCAGTCTGGTTCCCCGCAGGCTCCATCTGTTCTGCTCCAGGTGTATTTTGAGCCGATTCAAAGTACACCCCCTGTAGGCGCCGTGGTTTCAGGTTGCATCTATATAATTCAGCTGTATTTTGGGCCCATTCAAAGTACACCCCCTGTAGGCGCCATGGTTTCAGGTTGCATCGTTGCAACTCGTTCCCGTTCCACCCCCCCTTGCCCCTTCATTTCCCTTCCCTATTCCTCCCTCTCTGCCCCCCTTGCTCCAAGCGCCCCAGGCGCCTCAGGGTCTGGTCTGGTCTGGTGGTCCCTCTACATCCCTTCCCTTCTCCGTCTGGCTTTATGCGTGCGCCCCCGCAGGCTCCGTCTGTTCTGATCCCATCGCTCCAGGCGCCTCAGGGTCTGGTCTGGTCTGCTGGTCCCTCGACAGCCCTTCCCTTGCCCGCCTAACCTTCCCTCCTCCTCGCCTCACGTTCCCTTCCCTGTGACCTCCTGTTTCTTATCCTCTGTCACTGTGCCTTCTGCTCTCACCACACCATCTCGTTCCCTTCCCCTCCCTGACTCCCCCTGCAGTCACCGGGGCTTCTGGTCGCACCACCACGACTCGTTCCCAGATGTTTCGGCGTCTGCTGATGTGACGATCATCGACGCAGGCTGCTTACTCCTTACATCCCTTCCCCCCCCACTCCCTCCACCCCCTCCACCCCTCTCCCCCCCTTTTTTCTTCCCCTACCACAGTCGCCGGGGCTTTTGGTCGCACCGTAACGACTCGTTCCCCGAGGTGTCGGCTTCTGCCGATGTGACCATCATCGACGGGGGCTTCTGGACTGCCTGCCAGTGCAACGAGTCGGAACAGGCGTTCAACAAACACCTGCCCGAGTATGTCTCCTGGGCGAGGCGCCAACTGGACAGGCTGCACCTGTGGCACGGAGAACACAAGGGAGAGGGGCATCGTCGGGGGGTGGAGGGCGTGGGAGCTTCGAATTCAGGCGGATTGAGTGGGAAGCCATGGATGTTGTACCGAAGCATTCTTCCATGGAAGGCAAATGGAACTTGCGGAGGATCGTTGGTGACTAACTCCCTTATTGAGCACATGAATGAGATTATTAAGGGGGAGATCCAGCGGTACGGGATTGGGTATCTTGATGGGTGGCCGGTTGAGGCTCCGCGGTATTTTGACACCTGTAAGGAGAAGGATATACACTACACATGCCACCAGGCAGATACGCACAACAAGAATGGCAAATTCGTTGGGGAAGTTGGGGAAGCTATGGTGCTCAATACGATGTACACTTTACTGAATAAGCTTGAGTAGCAGAATCTGAATGCAGATATTGTGCACTTTGTGCTATATTTCGTAGTTAAAAATCCACTTGGAAGTTAATGTTAGGATACTAGAATGATTGAATTAGATCGTGTTCCTACCAGCCTCTTCCCAAGCAACCTCTTCCCAGACTCGCGTGCTACAGTGTCGCAAATTTTGACGCGAAATGTTTCAGTGCGATTCCACGAAGTGTGAAGTGAGATTCAGCTTCCCGAGATTCAGGGGCGTGTTTTAATATCAAACAGTGAAATTGATGATTAGAGAGAGAGAGTACACAAACATATACCTAACTGTTGTACTCTCTAGAAGATGACCCTATACAGTCTATACAAGCATGATAACTAAACATGTTTGACACACCCCCTGGACTGCATAGGGGAATGTTCTAGACAAGCAGCTCAGGGTGGCACTACTAGTCCAGCCTCTGAGACAAGGGTCTAAAAGACCAGTCAGAAGGAGTACAGGCAAGGCAAGAACTAGTACAGGGCGGCACTACTAGTCCAACCACTGTAAGAGGACACAAGTCCAGTCTGAGTGTACACACAGATATATAGGACAGTACAGAGTCAAGGCCCGAGTAAGTGAGAGACTACAGGAACCAGACCAAGCTGTACACAGTGCCGCTGATGATCTTTAGGCGCAAGCGCCTTCGTAAAGATATCAGCTGTGTTGGCACCGGAGGCTAAGTGTACTACGCGAGCCTGGCGACGCTGCTGTAGCTCACGCAGGAGGAAGTACCGCAGCTGGATGTGCTTCGCTCTGCCCTCGAGTCGAGGCTCCTGACACAGGAGGATCATGGCCCTGTTGTCAGCGTACAGGACCGGGGCAGAGCTAGGCCGCTCACCTAAGTCAGTGAGCAAGAAGGTCAGCCAGCGGAGCTCCTGTGCCGCCATGGCACCGGCGTAGATCTCGGCCTCACAGCTGGACTGGGCAACAGACGAAGAGCGGGTAGCTCTCCACGAGACAGCACCTGAACCAAGGCTAAAGCAGTAGCCCTGGGAAGACCTGAGCGTCTCGGCGTCGTCTGCCCAAGAAGCGTCTGTGTGTCCAGTAAGGACCACTGGCCTGCGTCCGCCTAGCACTAACCCCATGCCCGATGTACTTGCAAGATAACGCAAAACCCTCTTAGCGGCACACCAGTGCTGAGGTCGGTGCCTGCCTGTGGCCACGAAACGAGCCAGGATGCTGAGAGGGTATGCGAGATCTGGGCGAGTGCAAGTCATCAGGTACATGAGGCAACCCACTAGCTCAGCGTAAGGACCACTGGGATCTACCGACTCCTCAGGAACTGGAGCGGAGAGTCTGTGGTCCAGAGGAAGAGGGGTGGGCTGTGCGGAGGAGAACTGAAGGCCGAACCTCTGAAGGACCTGGCGCACCAAGTGTGACTGAGTCAGGGTGATGGTGCGCGCGGCTCTGTCCCTGGAGATCTGCAAGCCAAGGTAACGGCGCAGCTCTCCAAGGTCAGTGCAGGTGTGTCTCTTCAGCAGCTCTGCCTTCACGGAGGCCAGTGCGTCCCTGTCAGCAGTGGCAAAGACCAGGTCGTCTACGTAGTCGAGGATGTAGAACGGAGTCGAGCCAGCACGAACGAAGAGCGAGGGGTCTGCAGAGGACGGAAAGAACTGCAGGTCAGCAAGGGTAGCACGCAAAGTGTCGTGCCACTCACGAGGCGCCTGGCGCAGGCCGTAGACTGGTCGCCGCAGAAGCCACTGGGTCCCAGGGGGGAAGGTGCCAGTAAAGCCCTGAGGGCGACGCAGGTAGACCTGCTCGTGAAGGCTGCCCTGAAGAAAGGCAGTGGAGAAGTCGAGGGAGTGAAGCTCGTAGTCACGCTGAGCCGCTACGTGTAGCAGCACCCGAAGAGTAGTCATCTTCGGGGTAGGAGCGAAAGTCTGAAAGAAGTCCACCCCCTCGCGCTGACTGAAGCCTCTAGCCACGTAGCGCGCCTTGAACACAGGCGGCTCTCTAGGAGGGCGCTTCACCTTGAAGAGCCAACGGCCATCGACCACGTTCACCCCAGGTGGGGGAACTGCGTCGACGAAGGTGCCGGTGGATCTCCAAGATGCCATCTCCTGCTCCATGGCAGCTATCCACTGAGAGGCCCAGGGTCCCGAAACCGCCTCAGCGTAAGTACGAGGGGTCGGGATGTCGAAAGCGTCTGGGTCACCCTCAGGGACTAGCAGCATGGAACAGAGATGGGGAGCAGCCTCGGACAGGAAAGCAAGCTCAAACTGGCGGTCCTCCAGGACGTCACTGCCGAGGGCAGGAGCACCCCCGACAGACGGAGGACAGGCAGGGTGAGAGACCAGAGCGGTGGCGTAGTCAAGGCGGCGGGTAGAGGAGAAGTCAGCGACCGCAGCGACGAGGGCGTCAAGACTCGACACGGGAACAGACGGGTCGGTAACGAGAGAGGCAAGGACCCGAGGAACAAGAGGACGAGCGGCACGAAAGGAGTCGGACAGAGGAGGAGACGCAACGACAAGAGAAGACGGAGGAGGAGACGGGAGGAGGGGAGGTCGAGACGCGTGGGAACGGAGCAACATAGGGTGAGAGCGCGGGACAGGGGATACAGGACGAGCACGAGAGGGGCGGCGAGACCAGACGTGTGAGGGCGGCGTCGGGTCAGGAGACAGAGGAGGGGACACAGGAGGGGAACGAGGGGGAAGACGAGCCGGGGACGAGTCTGGCAGAGGGAACACGGGGCCGTAGACGGGAAGAGGGGGAGACGGCAGGAGAGGAACAGGCGCAGGGTCAGGAGACGGAAGGCCGAGCAGACGGAGGGCGGACACAGGCGGGGACTGCTGCTGCGGCGACACAACACCAACACCAGGGCCACAAGCTGCGCGACGGCTACCTCCCGAACCCTCCACACCTGCACCCCCAGAAGGGACACCCCCAGAGTCCACAAACGGCGGCAGCGACGACAGCGGCGGCGGCGGCGGCGGCTGCAGCGACGGCTGCGACGGCGGCGGCGGCGGAGACGACGGCTGCAACGGCGGCGGCGGTGGAGACGACGGCTGCAGCAGCTGCGGCGACGGCGGCTGCGGAGGCGGTGGAGGAGGAGACACCGGGGGAGGGACAGACGGCGAGGACTGCGCCGGAGGACTACCAGAGTCAGAAGACTCGTCGACCGGGACGACCGACGGGAGGGGGGTGACGTGAGACACACCAGAGGGGGCCGGACGGGGGGCGGGGGGGGGGGAGGGGCAGGGACCACCAGGGAGGGAGGAACCAGGAAAAGGGGGGGAGTAACCGGGGGACCACGGTGGGGAAAGCGGCGGTAGAAGGAGACGGACTCGTCAAAGGTGACGTCGCGAGAGTGAAAGAAGCGGTGAGACGGCGGGTGGTAGAAGTGCCAGTCGGACGCGTCAAGGGGGAAACCGAGGAAGACGCAGGGGAGGGTGCGGGCAGTGAGCTTGTCCGTGCCAGAGGCACGAACGTGAGCAAGGCAGCCCCAGACGCGGAACGCAGACGCGTCACCAGGGGACCCGGTCCACAGAAGGGTCGGCGAAACCTGCGGCCGCTGGGGGTGCGGCCACAGGTTAAGCTGGTGAGCGGCGTAGCGCACGGCGAACGGCCACAGAAAATGGGGTGCACCGGCGTGGATCATGGAGGTGCGAGCCACCTCCATGACCAAACCGATGCGTCGCTCAGCGACCCCATTCTGCTGCGGGGAGTCCGGCAGGGTAAACGTCTGGGTGATGCCCTCCGCACGACAGAAGCGACCAAGGACACCGGAGGCAAACTCGCCACCCCGGTCGGAGTGAAGGCGCAAGGCAGGGAGACCGCGGTGGACACGAGCAGAGACAAGCCAGGGGATGAGAACGTCAGGCACGTCGGCCTTCCGCTCCAGGGGGAAGACGGTGGTGTAGCGCGTGAAGTCGTCGACAAGCACTAGGAAGAAGCGCTCGCGACGCGGCCCATGGACCGGGGCTGGGCCCCAGACGTCCATGTGCAGAGTCTGCAGTGGTGCGGTGGTAGGGGGAAAAGAGGAGGAGTGAGGGGCACGGCGGAGCCGGCCCTCGACACAAGGCGTGCACGGTGGGGCGGGGGAGGAGGGAAACTCGGGGAACGAACCGGGGAGACCAAGGACGAGACCGTGCTGGGACATGTGACGCAGACGTGGGAGTGCAGGGTGACCAAGGCGGTGGTGCCAAAGGAGAGTCGGGTGAGTGAGGGACCGACAGGAGCACGCGGCTGCAACCTGGGTGGACGCAGCTACCGGGGGGGAAGACCCAGCCGGGGACGGCGCGGTGTCAAGTGTGAACAGGCCGGACACCGGGTCCCGGGGGAAAGTGGTAAGGGGGGCACCAGTGGCGGCCTCGGTACAGACAGCATACCGCTCGTGACCAGGGAACGTAGTGGTGACGCCAAGGTCCTGGAGGCAGCCGACACCAACTAGGTTCCTGGAGAACGAGGGGATATGCAGACCTGTGAGAGTGCCCGAAGGAACCGCCGGACAGGGAAGGGAGGTGGAACTGCGGGCAACGACGGGACCACCGGAGGGGTCAGCAAGAGTAACTGCAGCGGGAACAGGCAGCGGCGTCAGCGTCGTGGAGTCGCGGAAGAAACACCGGGAGGCGCCAGAGTCCAAGGTGAAGGAAAGCGCAGCAGTCGCGCGAGGCAGCAGTGAAGCGGTGGAAGCACCAAGGCTAAGCAAAGCAGGAGATCCTACGCCTGACGCAGCAGGGGAGTCTACGCTAGGCACCGCTACACTAGGCAACACGGGGTAATAAGAGGGAAGCACACTAGAGTCATCAGCATACATCACATGCAAGGCCGCTACAATGGCATCCATGTCCAAGTCAAAAATCCTAATGCTACGCCTAAGCAAGCTGTGCCAGTCCGGGAGGTCGGGCGCCGGGCCAAAGCGCTGGCGGAACAGGTCGTCCAGGCGACGAAAACAGCGAGGAGTAGAATGACCGATCTTACCGCAAACGAAGCCGCGGCGAGGACCGGTCTGGATCTGGTACTGACAGGGCCCGCCTCCAGAACCACCACCCGGTGCACCACCACGCGCACGACCACCACCAGCTCCAGGCCACCCAGGTGGGAGAGTACTCGC